ATATCAACTTTAATTCATCATTCATCCATTCACATAATTTTAACTCACCATCACTTCCGATCAATTTTTTCCAATTTTTACATCAAATCAACTTAAATTATTTTATTTTAAATAATATTTCATTTAAACTTAAATTCTCAATATCAACTAACCATACGACATTTTTCAAAATTAACTATGTTTAAAAAAACTAATAAAAAACCAATCAAATTCATATCCAATCACACCCTAAAAAGTCTTAACAAACTGAATGAGTTCAAAAATCAATATATTGAAGATATGTTCCCACAAGCACAAGGAATCTATATAAGGGAAATTTATTTATTTGTTTTTATAGATGTTCAAGTTTCCTATTATATATTTATACATCAATTGGAAATTGCATGAACTTATTATGACATTGATTTTGTAGGACTGCGACTTTTAAGAGAAGCACACGCACAAGATAAGGAAGGATCAAGGGAAGATTGACTTGCTAAGTCATGAAAGGAAAGAAGATATTGGAGAGAGAAAAGAAGAGTCCTAAACCTACAAGACTATCTTGGATAAACTTGGAAGGCAATCAAGGAACTTGAATAGGACTCCACGTGAAGAAAGTCATATAAATACCTACCTTGAAGATTGAAGTAGGGTTGCTGAGCTTATCACTTACACACGCTACCTTCAAACTTTAAGTGTTTTTCGTGCTTACATTTTCGATTTCAATTCAGTTCTTTTGTATTCTTTGGATATCGAAGAACTGAGATTATTTTTGATTGTGTTTTTGTCTTCATTTCATTTGAGACATTAGTCATCTACACTTAGGGAGTAAGTGTTAGGAAATAAGTCCCCGGGACGTGGCCGGAGAAATAGTTGATAGGATTGATCGTTGTTGTGGCTAGTCTAGAAGAGAGTTCTAGTTGTTATAAGTCCAAACAATGTTATCAATGAAAGAGCTCTGAGGGGAAGTGGGATGCTTCCCTGAAGTATTTTTAAAATTTCGGTTTATTGCTTCCACGATTTTTAATCTTTACTCTTGTTCGTACAATGTTGAGCGCACTCGCGATAAATTTATAAGTTTCACAAATTTTAGTCTCAAATAAATTAAATATCTCAAAATTTTGTAAAATTTTTTAAAATAAAAAATAAATACTCCAGGACTTTTAAAAACCTTAAAAATTCTAATAAATACATTAAAGATTTTTAAAGTTAGTAAAAAGTTTTTATAAATCTCAAAATGAATACATCCTAAAATTTTGATTAACAGCTTTGAATGCGCTGTGTCATGTGTGATAGGGACTCAGGTTGATAATTAAGATTTTTTTTTCTTTTAATGAATCTATACTTATATTAAAAGGTATCCCATTTATCAGATTTAGTATAAAGGAAAGTTAAAAGTAATTAATGTTTGCTGGAAATATAATGACATTAATTACAGATTTGTTTTGGTATTTATAGCTTGACATTAAAAATTTGTTATGGGATAAAAATCAGAACCTATTTTTTATTTTTTTTACCTTTCCTGGAAAAGTCAAATGTAAGTATAGATTTGTTTTATTCCATAACATCGATTTAGTTAAAATAATCTCATAAAATCGGTTTTAATGTCAAGCCTATAAATAAAAATTTAATCGGTTTTAATAAAGCAGATTTAATCGGTTTTAATAATTGCATAGAATTTCAAAGCTGTTATTTATTGTAAAAAAATTAAATTCTAAAAAAACATTTGTGTATATTTTGTAAAATGTTTGTACAAAATATTTTACTTTAAATTTATTTACATAATTTAAATTAATTACATTAATAAATAATATGAACATACATTAAATATTTTAATTACATAAAACAAAAAGAAAAAAAAGATTACATTTATAACTTATAATAATAATGACATTATACTACAATAAATTTTATAATGAAATAATATAAGTATTATACGATGAACAAGATTACGTAGAATTGTTATTTTTCTTATATCAATGAATAAATATATATAATGAAATCAAATTTATATTATTATAGACATGTGAGCGAGATAATATGTTAATTAATTTACGGGCTAGCGCTATTAGACTCAGGTTTAATATTCCGACAAAGAAAGGACGTTGATGAAAAGATGTAAAAAGATAGATGATCAAACTCTATTATTTTTTAGGCCTGAACGGACAAGTCCTATGGTCCACTCATTTAATATCTCCGATGAATCGCACGAACTACTTAACGAACAAGTTCTGTGAAAATAACTCATTAATACTTATGTCCCGTGCATCGCACATGCTAGTTGATAATTAATTAAGATCTGGTCGGGTGTGTGACGGTATAATTATGACTACACGCACCAACGTGGACCAGTCAACAGCAATAGGAGTATTTGTTTTCATCACAAAAATAAATATTGCAGGGGACCCCATACCCAATAATGAATTTCAATTTCCAACCATGAAAGAGAAAAGTAATAGAAAAAGGAAAAAGGAGAAAGGACTTGTGACAAAAAATAGATTTTTTTGTTGTAAAGAAAAAAAAAAAATACTAACTTTGGTTTAAAGTGGGGAATATGATGTGTATTGTTGCTCATGCAATAATTCATATACCATGCACCATATAGGGACATTGACTGTTATAAATAGATTTTTAATTTTACCTAATATCTTCAAAGCTGTTAACACACATCAGATGATAATTTTGACTAACAACTACAGCTGCAAAGCCAAACGAGACGTTACTCAACTCGACCGACTCGTTTACTTGAAAAATACTAAGGTTGTGTTTGGTAAGTCAAATAAGCTAGCTTATAGCTTATTTGGTTAGTTTATAAGCTCCTTGTGACAAACGGGGGTTGACGGGTGCGGTTCCACGGACGAAGCGCACCAAATCAGGGAAGCCCAAATGAATCCAAGTGATGTTTCATTTTGGTGGTAGGAGGAGTATCCCACTAGGGTTATAAGGTGGGTATATTTTTCCTGTATAGACGATGTGAGACAACTCACAAGTGTATATTCTGACATCCTCCCTCACTTGTGAGTCTTTCGGAAGCCCAAGCCCAACTGGGCTGGGTAACGGGTACGTCATTGCACGGTCTTACATAGGTCCAAGCCCATGTGGGCTGCAGGGTGAACCGGCTCTGATACCATGACAAACGGGAGTTGACGGGTGCGGTCCCACGGACGAAGCGCACCAAATCAGGGAAGCGCAAATGAATCCAAGTGACGTTCCATCCCAAAACCAATTGGTGGTAGGAGTAGTAGCCCACTAGGCTTATAAGGTGGGCATATTTTCACTGTATAGACGATGTGGGACAACTCACAAGTGTATATTATGACACCCTGTATTCAAATAAGCCTCGTTTGGTAGGACGAGCTTTTTTAAAAAGCTCGAGTTTATCTCATAAGCTACTTTATGTAGCTTTCCAAATAAGCTAGTTGAATTTTCTATTTCAGCTAGCTTATCAGCTAATTTTACCAAACACTTTTATCATATAAGGTAGCTTTCCAACTATAAGTCATAAGCTATAAGTTATAAGCTAAAAAATTACAAATAAGCTATAAGCTAGCTTATCAGCTATCAACTAGCTTATCAGTTAGTTTCACCAAACATAGCCTAAGAGTTTATATGTTTTTTTTTTTGGTTAATTTTTAGCATAATTTGGCTCTACACAATGAGAAGCTCGAGCTCGAGCTTTGGTATCTGCAGCTCTAACTCGACTCAACTCGTCGAATAAAAAATATTAAACATATTATTTGACTATTTTAAAGAATATACATGTCAAAATTGATCCCACACACCTAACCAACCTTGTCCATCATACCAACCAGATGCCAATTTTCATGATTTTTTTTTTTATATATTATTATTCTGGTGTGCTTGCAAACAATGGACCGAAAAACGCTAAAAATAAAATAGTAACAAATAAAGTTAAGCTAAGTAAAGAAGGAACATGCATATGTATTAAGTATTAACATTGTCCAGAATCCAAATTCAGCTAGAATATAAGATATTATACATGTATATTAATTTAATTAAATTAGCAATTTGAGCTATGCCTAAAAAGGAAAAGCATGGCTTGTGTAGCATTGTACAAACCAAGTAAAGATGCTCATAATGAGTGACATTATAAATTTATAACCAAACACTATAAACAATGAAAAAGATACTAGGCACTTAAAGGGCAAAATGCCAGGGTATAGGCCAATAGAGCTGCTTGCACTTAATGTATAGTGTATACTTCATTTCTTTATTGTTTATTTTTCTTTTCATTAAAAAAATGTTCGGGAATGAGGCCATGCAATTATGATAGTCAACTTATTAGATTCTCAAAAGTATTAATTTCTATAAACATTTATAATAATTGGAAATCACCCCATAAAGTGTAACATATTTTCGGCGTCAACGAGTCAAGATGAGTTCGAGCTCCTACTACTCAAACTCGAGTTTGAGCTCAAATCTTTATCGAGCTGACTTCAGTTTCATAGTTGACTAAATGAACAATAAACGAATTTGTGCTTTATTCGCATCACTATTAACGAGCCAAACTCGAGCTCAACCTCTAGCTTTTATCCAGCCGAGTTCAACTCGACTCATTAGCTAAACGAGCCGATATCCATATTAATGACCAGAGCTCGAGCTTGAGCTCTACCCTTTATTGAGCCAAAATTCAACTTAACTCATTAACAAAATGATCCGCTAAACGAACTCAAGGCTCACTAATTTATAATTTTAACGAGCCGAGCTTAAACCAGACTCGAACTACAACGAGCCGAGTTATAGAAAATTATATATAATTTTAACGAGCTGAGCTTAAATCAGACTCGAGCTACAACGAGCCAAGCATAGAAAATTATATATAAAAATATTCTATTAAGGCTTAACAAGCTGTATTAATCTTACAAGCTCGTTTACCAGCCATAAACATTTTATAATTCCCCAAATTTTTTTAATTTTTTTTTTTTTATACTTCCAATAATGGAAACTATAATACAGCTACTGCATCATAATTTACAAAATTCAATTGGTTTTTTATTTTTGCCCAAACACCTTCAAAGCTACACAAAGCAGGAACTAACGAAAAAATGAGAAAACAAGAAGTTCTACAGGACTCTAACAAATGAGCATTCATCATAATAATGTAGAAACATAGCAGAAATATTAACATTATATATATGTTTGTAGCTACACAGACTACGCAAAAAAGGCCTATAATCCGTTAACCGATAGCCCATAATTTCATATCTCGGAATACAACCTAACTAACCGTAACGAATCCAAGGGAGTTTCGAGTCGCCACTCTTTCTGTTTCTTGCTAAGTGGTCTGCCTTTTCCCGAATTTTCCCTGTTTACCCTTACATTGGCTAATCCCCAAGTGCACGATTTAGCTCCCGAGTCATATGATAAAAGCCTAAATACCCCATCATGCTCGGAAAACGAACTTGAACCGACTGCTTCAAAGGCGTATTTAACGTACAAGTTACGATCCTTGAACCGTTCAAAGTCTTCTGGGATTCGGACAACCCTCTCGACTCCAGGCGAGGAAACCTGCAAAAAGATATCAAGATACAATTTTGCTAACCTTAGCCCAAGTCCAGTTTTAATTGAAGACACACGAAAAAAAAACTAAAAGAAAAAAAAAAAAGGCAATTGAAGAATAATTAGTAAATGAATAACCTCGAGATATATATTCACTGGAATGGATCCAGTAGCTTCAGCTTCATCAAGCCGAGCTTGATATCTTGTAGTGAAATCTTCAATGTCTGCCATATTGGGAGAGCCTGACCTGTGAAAAGCATATGTTTAGATTTAAAAAGGTTGAATTTTACCTACTAAAAGCTTTGAGCAACAATCAGAATGTTTATATTAAGGACCCAACTTATTACTTATTGTTTTCCATCTCTTAAAAAACAGAGGGGGAAAGAATCATATCAATACATGTGAGAAACTAATCTTACTTATTAGTAAGCCTCTCTATACGAACTTGAATGCTGGCATTTAGCAGTGTCCTAAAGGCATATATACCAAGTTCGCCATCAAATGAGACTGTAACTTCTTGAGCAAGATCTAAAGCTTTTTGATCCCAGCTCGTCCCAGCTAGAGATATGCCACCACCTCCAGCTCCATCCCCTACCTTCAAGAACACGATATTTGTGAAAAAAAAAAAAAGAGTAATCACCTTTAGAACCTTTGCACGGACTTGAATATCAAACCCCAGTAAGTAAAGTGAAGTATTCGCAAAGATAAATAAAGTACAGCACTCACTGAAGGTTCAGCCTCTTCTTCTAAATATTCATCCTCAAAGTCACCACCATCATCATCTACTAGTTGATCTGCAATTGGCGTAATATATCATCTTTTACCGAGATGAAGCAGGAAAATCATAAACTATTAGTTTAAACAAGCCCATGGCCTTGTGAGATATCTCATATGTAATCCCTCAACAAATGACTGTTACAACTACAATTCATTAACAACTAAAATCGAGCTAACATAACAATCCTCTTATCATATTCCCCAACAGGTGAACCAGTTGCCCTGCTTGAGCTTTTGAGCTCTCATTATAACAACCTTATCTTTGTTCTTTACATTGGAATAAAACTAAAATCTCGTAACTGTAACAAGAACAACTACTTCCTCAAGCTAATAGGAACAGCCAACATAAGAGGAAAAAACTAATAGCCGAATCAAACAGTGGTGAACTGAATAAAACGAAATTACTCACGAACCATCTTGAAAGTCCTCGATAAAAATGTCATCTTGAAAGTCCTCATTAACCACGGTCAATTCCTCGACAACGGAAGGGCTCACAACTGGCTCACGCTGCGCGTTTTTCTTCTTCGCATAGGCGATGGAGGACCTCTTCGGAATTCTTTGAAAGGGGCGCGGATAAAGTGGGAAATGGGCGGTGTTAAAATCGACGGCCATGGATACTCGCGGTGGTGGTAAAATCAGAGAAGGGTTAAAAAGTGGGTTTTTGTACGGATGGCAAATTGAGGCGATTAGCTCCATTTGGGGGGATTTTTTTATGTTTTTCTGGGATTACTGTTTGTTAAGTTTAACCAGTGGTGGCAATTACGGGAGAAGATTGAGGGAAATTTTTCTGGAGACGACGACTGGAACGACGACGTTTTGGTCATGGGCCATAGGCTCAGAGTCCATGAGTTGTATACGGGCCTGTGTGGTTCAAATGCAATTCGTTCCAAAATCAGTTTTTACTATGTATTTATGAGATTATCTTAATAGTGTTTTGTAAGTGCATAAGTTAAGTTAAAACATTTTTGTGTAGTTTATAAACTTTGTGCATTCAAATAAACTTAATCTGGTAGGACGAACACTTTTAAATAGGCGGAGCTTATCTAATGAGCTGCCTTAAGAAGTTTTAAAATAAGTGTGCTGCAATTTTTATTTCAGTTGACTTATTAATTAATTTTAGATATTTTTATCATATCAACTAGTCTTTCAGCCATCAATCGTATCAGTTATGAGCTTAAAATTAATTTATAAGCTATCAACCAAAACTTATCAATTATCAGCTAGTTTGAACGAACATATCCAAAATCATTTGATAAACTTAACTGATAAACTATCTAATAGCTGATAATTACTAAGTGTTTCTCTAAACTTCGTTGCCACCAGGTTGAGTCTATACAACCGTTACAACTCGTCTCAAACGTCTTTTAAGCAACTTTTTCCATGTGGATTTGCTCTCGAGATTCTTGAGGTATACTCGGGCCTACGATTTTCAGCATGTCGCTTGTTGAGGTACAAAATTAAAATTGGCAATAGGTTGTTCTATTTTTGTTACAATTTCTTGATTTTTACAAGGTTTGTTTAATTAAGATGATGAATGAAATTTTTTGTGATATATTTATATGAATGAAGAGAAGAAGGTGGTGAAGGTTGAGGCTTTTTATTATTATCATTATTATTATTATTATTATTATTATTATTATTATTATTATTATTATTATTATTATTAT